CAGTTCTAATAATAGCATGTGGTGGCTGCACTTCTGGTCTTTCCTCTGCATTTTAATCCCATTATTTTCTAAGCCTCTCCCAAGGCCTCCTTTACCAGTCAAAATCAGCCAAGGTTTCATATGCCCTTAGAAGAAAAGAGGACTGATAGAACCTAAGTATCGACTAGAGAAAAGCCAAGAGCCTTTTCATGCTGGATGATCCACGTGAGTCTGGGTTCCTGATAGCCACACAGGGAGGCCCTGCCTATAGTGTGGACATCGGTTCCTTTGCACAGCTCCCTCCTGTGTGTATGCAGAGGCTGCTTTTTCTCATCTTGCTTGCCCTAAAACATTTTTTGACTCAGCCTCCATATACTTGAAACTTAGAGTTCAACCTGTCAAAATCAGAGGGAAATGGACTGAATTGCATCTTTCACGAAAACAAACGTTTTCCAACTGCCATGGCATTTTAGACTGTATTTTACCTTTCTGCTAGTGTTGCTTCCCTATCACATTTCCCCGGATAAACATATAGTTTGTGCCATAATATTTTTTAACAAGGAGTCCTTTGGGCAGACGGTGGCATTAGGAATTTCTGCTTGGCATTTGGTATGCTGTCCAGCTGAGTCCCCAACCATGTTGTGAGTCAATGCAAACACAGCAGCTTTCAATAAAGGCAACGGTTATCTGAGCAGGCTGCAGCTGTGACTCTCAGCTCAGCCTCTGGGTCACCAGTCTGGGATGTGAGCTGGCACCTTGTTAAAAAAGGTATTCTGACAGAGAGATAGCTGTCAATGGACTCTTCCAAAAATCCTCTTTCCCTGGGTTCTTCCAGTCCATCTCCTTGGCATGTGCCATTCCCTATGCATCTTATGTTAGACTACATCTCTGGTTTCTCACCACAGCCTGGACACTGCTGATGGGCTAGATTGGTACCGTATGCTTTGTCATGTACCGTGATCCCACTCACGATGTTATTTCAGTGGGACAGATGCTGAGACTGTTCACCATGCCAGAGGAATCTTGCTGCACATAGTATTTCCTTTGCCCTCCTTTGGTAACTTCCCAAGTTCCCACAGTCACTACTTGGTTATGCATGTGTGCTAACACTCAGACTACTTTGCAATTAGAGCCCTGCCAATTGGATAGCTAGTATTTCTATTCAATAATCTTTTCATTCACTCATACTAAACATTCATTACATAGCTCAATGTTAAGAGCCCTTTAACTTGTCATATACATGATGAATATAACAGCACTCGCATTCTAAACCAGGCTTTTAACACAGCGGTACAGTGGTGATCATTAAACAACCACTCTGCACTGTGGCATCTCTAGCCATGGTGAATGTTATAAAGAAAGTGTGTTTACTCTAGTCCTTGCCCCTATACCAGTCCCCACACACCACCAAACTCAATATAAACCCCACATAACAAGCAAGAATATCTGAAGTATGCAGGTTATACTTCATACCTGCATACTTCAGATATTCAGACAATGGGACAGTAGCAGGTGCATAGTGGGTGAGGTTCCCTGGACATGACCAGGACACTCGTTTATAGTGGCCCAAGCTGCTGTAAGTCTAAGATCCCACTGAAATGCTGTACTCACTTTCCCACTTAATGGTTTAGGAACTCTTTTCTAGCCCCCAAAGCTACACTTCAAGCCACTTTTTTTTTTAAACCTACACAGTTGCCTTTCCAAAAGTATCCTGCAGTGATTCCATGTTGCTCTTCCATTGTTTCCTCAGTTAGCCCTGACTCCATGTTTTGGCAATCTTTCAGCCTCATTCCTTTTTCCTCCCAATCTGTAATAAAACTAAGCAAAAAGTAGTAGGTATATTAGCTCAAGAATTGGGATGTACCCGTGGAACTGCTGGGCGATGCAAGTTTTTGTCAATGGCTATGGGAGCCCCTGGCATGGAAGGCCAGACCCACCACCCCCCTCCCAAAGGAAAGAGGACAAGTCCCCATCCATCTGTTTTCTCCCCTCCTCTGGCATCATAGAACCATCACAGTAGATAGGGTCATCTCGCTGTCTCCCACTGGAGGTGGAGTAGGGGAGGGTCTCACGCCCAGAGATGCTCCTACAACTTTCTCCCCTCCCTTGAATTGAAGGATGAAGGGTATTTATTTGTTTCCCCACAGGAGATGAAGCAGGGAGTTTTTCTAGGGTTCTGCCCACCCTTGTCACCGCCCTGTGGTGCCCCAGGGGTAATCAGCCAATTGAAGGAATGTAAGATCTGTATAATAAAATCTTAATTCCACAGAAGTATGATTCCAGCTACAAAATTTGAGCTCTCTATAAACATTAAACACTCTATATTTCCGTAAGTCCCACCACCAAAGGAAAAGAAAACAGTGTTTAATTCTCTCTAACACTGAGCTATCCCCTCAGCCTACTCCCAACTAAGAACCTTGAGCAAAATTCTTTTCTCCATTTCAGAGGAGGAAAGTGGGAAATGCTTTTTCTTGTACGCAGAGACTACTTCAAAGTGGGAGGGGCTCCTGTTCGGGCCCTTTTAAACTAATTTTCCATCTGCTCCCAATCCAGGTTTATCCAGTTGTACCTCTTTATTGGGATATTGTTGAATGGAAGTACATAATAATCATTGTTTTATTTTTTATAAATGGGCTTCTACCAACAAAAACATAGGATTAGTCCTACTGTCAGCATGAAATCCTGTGTCATGGCTTCTCCAGGTTCCACCTGAGGACCAGCACACCCCCACAGTCTTCCAGCGAGCAGAACAAATCAAAGAGGATTTCCAGAGACAGCAATAACTTTACATTCCACCCACTGCTCTCCCTGGGGCAGCAAATCTTCACTGTGAAATCTGCAATTCCAGGAGAGCAGAAAGCAATCTATCTCCCTCCAAAAACAAGTGGCCATTTCAGGGAACTGGACACATTTTCACTCCTAATGGTAGGTAGGTCTCCTTGGATTACTATGGTCTGCCATGAGCCAGGGAATTGGAAGACAAAAACAGAGGAAAGAAGGAAGGAAAGATGGAAGGAAGGAAGGAAGGAAGGAAGGAAGGAAGGAAGGAAGGAAGGAAGGGAGGGAGGGAGGGAGGGAGGGAGGGAGGGAGGGAGGGAGGGAGGAAAAAAGAATACAAAGTTGAAAAATAGCAAGAATCCATTACTCTGTGAGTCCAGTGCGCTACAGGCTAGGTTCCATCTCACACACACACACACACAGTGATGTCTCAATGTAAGGAATCCCAGCTAGTGGGCTCCCCAGCTGAATTCTACCTCTCAGAAGGGAGCTGGATAGGACAAAATTTCTATCTGAAAGGTCAGGGCAGGATTAGAAGGAGGAACCAAGAACACAGACTTAGCCCATTTCATCTAGCACAGAAGGACCCAGAATGCCAGGTATGATATTACCTAGCGAATATTTACTAAGCACCCACTAAGTGTCCAACACTGTTGAAAGAGATCAAGGGAACAGGAAGATGGTTGGTGCTGACCTAAGCAGAGCCGTGTGCCCTCTGGTTTGCAGGAAGTGAGCAATCACCAGGCAGGAAAGCTGTTGGAGGTCTGCACTGGTCATAGAGAAAGGACAAGGAGCAGAAGACTGGCCGGTCCCTGCTACAGCAGGCCCTACGGTCACAGGTGACACCTCTTCTTTGTCCCCTCAGTACAACAGTGTATAAGCCTTTACTGTCCTACAGTTCTTCTTTTTGTTACACAGTGACTTTCAACCCTGGTTGTACATCAGAATTATCTAAAGAAGTTTTTAAAATCGTGTTGCCCAGAACCCACCCCAGACTAATGAAATCAGCCTCTGTGGGGGTGGCACCTAGGCTTCAGTAGTTCCTAAAACTCCCCAGGTGGTCCCAGTGTGGGGCCAAGATTGAAAACCACTGCATGGAGGTAATTGTCCTAATTACCTCTCCAGCTTCTCTCTGCCTCTACATTCCTCTTATCTAAGCTGCTACATTGCCTTTTTATTTTTAGTTTGTTCTACTTCATCCTTTCAGTAGATAATTCTATAATACTCCATTAAACCTTTTTTCATGCTTTAACTTTGCTTTTTCTCATTTAATTTTCATTGCCCACTCTACTTACTCCTTCTTCCCATTATGTTTGTTTTGTTTTGTGTTTTCTTTAATCCAGCATTAACATTTGCAGGGCACTTGATATGGACAGAGTACTACAGCAGGCACTTAACTGCTGCTAAAAATTACATTTAATGCAGTAATACTTTTTGTTAGATCCTGTGCCATGGCTACGGGCTCTGGTCTGATGGAAGATTGGCAGTTTGGCTTCCTCCTTGGAAGCAGCTGCATTGCTGTATAAATTTAAGATCCAAAATAAGCATATTACAATAAAAAATAAAAGAAATATTCACAAATATGAGGGAAAGAAGCATTAACAGCAGTCTGAAGCTAAATATCAACATCACCCCTGCCAAGCTCTTGGCCTCATTGTAGGGGGAAGACACTTCCATGTGCAGAAAAAAGAGAAAGAATCCAGACTGCATTTACAACTAATGAGGCTGTTCTCTGAGGACAGGGCATTTGCTGATTTAGACTCATTTCCTCAAGGTCCTCAAGCAAGCCCAAGAGTACATAGGCCAGTCGCTGAGACACTGAAGGTTGAGATGTGGAGAAAGGGCCAAGAGACTGTCCCAGAAGCAGAATGCTTCAGTCCTCTAGGGAAGCTTTGGGGGAGATCTGCCCTCTTGTCCTCCTACAGCTCAGCTAAGAACAGCCCCGGAGCCTCAGAACCACAGGCCCTGTAGTTCCCTGGGTCTGGCAAGCCCCTGAGAGACCAAATCACTGTCCTCCCCGCAGAGCCAGCCCAGCACTGAGAATACCATACAAGTGAGAGGACGCTTGCCAAATAGATGCATGAATGAATGAATGACTCCTCTGATGAAATTGTCCCAGGGAGAGTTTGTGGGAATACTGAAAACGAAGGTGGTCCCCACACTGGTACCCCAGTCCTTGATACTCTGATGTGGCTTTTCAATTTCTCTTCCTTTTACCTTGATTTATTTATTCTATATCAATCTATTTGTTCATTTATTCATTTATTTTAGGAATCAAGCCAGACACCTTGTTGGAGCAACAAGAACTAGAGACATTTGTTCCTTTTAGAAGAAGCAAAATTTTCCAGTGCCGACTGACAGGGAAGGAGATGAATAATTACAATATATGCTGGTAGAGAGGACCTGAGACGGCTTCCTGATTTTCGTACATCAACAAGGAGACTTCTATGGCCCTGGTCTCCAGCACACCTTTCTTGGTAGAGTTCAGAATTCAACCAGCCAATTCTTCCTGGAGATTCTCAGAGCCACAGTGAGAGAGCAGGGGACTAACAAGGACTGCCCTATCCATGGTGACTCTCCTTGGCCTCTAGGTAAGTCACACACTGAAGCCTGCCCCTCCCACCCTCCACCCTGGTCAGCTAATCTAGGTTAGTGCAGGTCTAACTTAGATTACAAGGCGTGCTCGTGTGCATAATTTTGTTACCACCAACAACCACATGGGACAACGTTATCCCCATTTTATTGTCCAGGAAACCGAGGCCTGGTGTGGTAAGTGACTTGCAAGTAAGAGGAGGAATGAGATGTAAACCCAGATTCCTGAATCTAAATTCAGTGGTCTGCGCTGCAGCATAGCTGCCTCTTGAGAACTAGAGTGGGCAGTGTGGAAGTGGGAATCCTCAAGTTCCCAGGCCTCTTCCAGCCCAGTCTTCTATGTAAAATTTTTCTCTTCCAGGCTTGTCTGAGCAGAGGTAGGGTGACCCCGCCGCCTGTTCCTCAACAGTCTGTGCAAATTCAAAGAAATAGAGTGTGAATTCAAGGAACTCATTTGAAGAACAGGAAAAGCAACTCTCTCCTTGAGGTTATGGGGAAATGAAGGTTGAAACATGGATCAGAAGACTTGCTAAGGTCCCTTCCACCCTCAACTCTTCCATTCTGTTCCCAATGAAACCCAAAACACAGCTTTCTCCATCACTCTTTAATCTGTTGGTTGATTTGCTTGGTGCTCCCGACCAGCACTGTGGCCCCGAAAATAAAATATTAATTATATCCACTTTACAGCCATCCATCGCTAGCCATCTGACGCTGATAGAAAGGCAGGAAGCACTCGTGGCAGTTTGCATATCAGGGTCAGCAGTTCCTTTCTTAACCCTCCTCTGTCTGGCAAGGCTAAGGGAGCAGACGTTCCTGTAATGACCTGGCCTGTCTTTAGAGCTGCAGCCCCAAGAGCTGTTGTTCTTCCTGTGGCTGTAGTCTTGGCACTGAGTTCCTTCCTGCTCTTCTTTTGCTCTTGTGTGTAGCGGACCACAACACGCTTTCAGATCAGACATCCTGTGGGCAGAAGAAATTATTTCACTTCAATAAGAATTTTTGAAGACCAGTACGGGTTCAACGGGTGCTTGGGGGATTACACCAGAGATAAGAACAGACTAAGTCACACACATGAGGCAGCATTTACAAATCAAACAACACAGTATGCAATAGCAGCTTCTGAGTTTCTGCAGAGGAGGGGCTAAGGACAGCAACCTGGTTGGAAGATGCCTCAGGAATTTGCCTTGAGGCTGTATTTTCATAGCACGTAAGATTGAGAAAGACATCAAAGAATGGGAAACCTTCCATTCTGGAGAGATGGAGATTATGGGGGAGAATGGATAAAGCCCCCAAAACCACTCTTGCCTCTCCTATTAACTGTTCAAGTCTCAGGTATCATTATTTGTATGACAAGGAGAAAATTAACATTGTTAAGCAATGAGCCAAGGGTTTACAAGCATAATTTCATTTCTTTCTCACAGAAATCCTATGAGCTATCTTCTCCCATTTTACAGAGTATAAAAAAGTTAGTTTTTCCTAGAAATCACATGAAGGGACAGACATCCCCTTGGCAGGACCAAGGAAGCTGTGGCCTATTTGCTGGCCTTGACATGAAGGAAGGACTGAGCACAAAGAACACAGCCTGCATAGGGCCGGAGGAGGGTTGGGTCCGAGGGCAGAGCCCTGGTGGATGTCTCTGCCTTCCACCTGGGCACCCCAAGACAGGCTGTGTTTTTGTTTAAGTTCCATCTTGTCCTGCCACAGGCCCAGGCCAAGCTGACTGCTCCTGACCTGGTGAAGCACTAGCCACACCCTGTCCCAAGCTCCCACTGCATCATCACCTGTCCTCTCCTCTACTGTCTTCTACCTCTGGCTTTGATTTATCATTCATACCATCTCTCTCTCTTAGTCAGGCCTAGAGGAAGGTTGTTTTTGGCCATTAACAATAAATTCTTAAAATTCCCTCTAACCAGTGGAAGATATAAATCGCAGTCATAAACATAATACACATTCTTGGGACTCTTCAAAATGACTTCCTGAATAATTTGAGATAGTTCAACAATAATTATCTAGAAAGACAGGCTTACTTGAGCCCTGCTAACTGCTCTTTTGATATTAATACAGCTTTAAGCCCTCTGTACTTCTTTCTGCCTGAAGGCTTTTTTTAATACATGTCCTCATTTGTTACATAGAATGCTATTTCCCTAACTATGCCCCATACCTGTTTCAGACAGGGTCCCAGCAGGAGACAGGGCACTCTCGGGGTGACTAGAGAGAGTTTAATGAAAGGGACTTTTACAAAGGTGTGGACAGGTATTATGGATTGAACTGTGTCCCCCAAGGAAAGATATGTTGAAGTCTTAACTCCCAGTACCTTAGAATGTGACCTTATTTGGAAATAGGGTCACTGCAGATGTAATTAGTTTCAATGAGTTCATACTGGAGTATGGTAGGCCCCTAATGCAATATGACTGGCATTCTATAATACAGCCAAGTGAAGACAAAGACACGCAGGGAGAGAAAACCACGAGACAGTGCAGGCAGAGACCGGAGTGATGCAGGTGCAAGCCAAGCCAAAGGCCATCAGAGTTTCCAGCAAACCACCAAAATCTAGTAAGAGGCTAGGAAGGATTCCCCTACAGGTTTCAGAGGGCACATGGCCCTGCTGACACCTTGATTTCAAACTTCCAGCTTCCAGAACTGTGAGACAATACATTTATATTGTTTTAAACCACCTAGTTTGTGGTACTTTGTTAAAGCAGCTATAGGAAATTAATACAGAAGGGTTATGAGAAACCAAAAAGAAGGTGGTGAAACACCCAAGGCTGGCAACAAAGAACCGCTGCCATGCCAGGCCTGAAGCGTGTAGGGGAGGAGCCTTTACTGAAACCTGCAGCTATGGAAGAGGAGCTATAGCTTCCAGTGGAGGAAGGCACTCTCTCCTTCCCTCCAGTCTCCTGAAGGTGTCTCCATTGGCCAGAATGGGATGGAGAGCCAGTGGATGCCGCCAATTAAAGTCAGGCTCTTAGAGTAGGAAGTAGAGTGGATGTGCAGGGGCAAACAGACTCAGTTGCAACTTCAATGCCACTTCCTCTTCAGGGAAGCCTTCCCTGACCTCCTGACCAAACCTGGCCTCTGTAACATGCTCTCATAATCCTTCTGCTTCTGCAGAATACTTATAGCTGCAATGGAGGAATAAATTATGCAAATCATTAAGTGATGACTGGCTCTCATGCTAGAACATAAGCTGTATGAGAGAAAAGACGGTGTCTTCCATTCATCAACGGCAGACCCTGAATCCTCAGGGTCTGGCACTCAGTAAGAATGACTAGGTTTTATAGGATGTGCCAAGAACTAGGCAGCCCGATAGAAAAAGGTCAAGTGTTTAAGTTCAAACAGATTGACCTTGGCAACTTTCAAAGAGCTATAGACAGCAGACAGCATTATGTTCTGCTTGGGGAGGGGGTGCTGATTATATCATTTATAACATCAAAGAATATGCCCACCTTGAGTACTTGCTAACAGTCCTCCAAGAGCAGTAGGCGGGATGGGCAGTTGTGCAAAGTGAGGTGAGGCAGGGGTGGGTGGGGAGAGCAACTACTATGGGGTCAAGAAACTTGAGCTGCTCCTATCTGAATTTTTTTCAGGGCAGTGTGTTCCCAGTCACACTGGGGAACTTAAGAAAGCTTAAGTGAATCTTTCCTCCACTGATCTGTGGATGTAAGTCCTGCATCCACTTGCTAATACGGAATGCCACCTCTGCTCTTGCTTTTTTGCTTACCAAGTGACCCCCTTCCCAGCTTCTGCTGCACTCTCTAGCTCCCATTGTTAATTTACCTGTTTGATTTCAAAATTTCAAAGATTGACCTTTAAACTCAAAAGTGGAGGTCCCAAAAATCCTAACACTCCCCTCTTTTGAAGTCCACATAAATTTAGCCCGTCATAAGTTGGGATGTAGTGGTGGTTTCTAAGTTTTTTACAATATTTTGCTTTGTGTAATTTAACACAAGTAAACTAAGAAGCCTTCAGAAAAGAAGATAGATGAGCTCAATAAAGATCAGGAAACTCTGGTTCACATTTGGAAGACAATGTTTCATTGGATCGCTCTTTAACACATGGGTAAATCACCCTTATCCAACTTTGCCTAGAGGGAGTTTGCAGTGAACACAACGATCATTACAACATCTTCAATCTTTGTGCACATACTATCGATCTCCTCATTTTATGGTTCTTTTGATTACAGCTGTAAATGTCAATAATTCTTCTTGGTATTAACTATTAACATCACCACATAGTGTCTAACATGTACATCTAATCTGGAACTAGAACAACAATATCAAATTTAACATCTAGGGAGGAAGCAGAAACCTTGTCATCAATTAAATAAGCTGCCTTAATCTCCTTTCAGTTGGCCTAACTTACCTGAACCACACTATTGGTCTTGAAGGTGGCACTGTCATCCCATTAACAGGCAGCAGGCCTTGCGAGCCTCCTGTGATCATAGACTTCTCTGGGGAATGAAACAGCTGCTGATAGGGACTGACTTCCTCAGTCACAAGTGTTTCACAAGTGTGTTGGTTCAGAGGAGGGACCAGGCAGAAGGTGGTTGACAGGCAGAGCTGCCCCTGAGTGAGCCATGCAGAGGATCTCCTCCCTCATCCATCTCTCCCTCTTCTGGGCAGGTAAGGCAGACTCCAGAACTTTGGCCAAGCAAGACTCAGCAGCAAAGAAGCATCAAGGCTCCCAGGACCTTGTCCTCCTGGACCATGCTCCTTACTCAATGGTCTCAGCCTCCAGCCCTCACTGAGCCCCTCTCTTGTGTCTTTTCTCTCAGGAGTCATGTCAGCCATTGAGTTGGTGCCTGAACCCCAAACAGTGATTGTGTCAGTGGGGGACCCTGCCACCCTCAGGTGCTCCATGAAAGGAGAAGCAATCAGTAACTACTATATCAACTGGTACAGGAAGACCCAAGGTAACACAATGACTTTCATATACCGAGAAAAGGGCATCTATGGCCCTGGTTTCAAGGACAATTTCCAAGGTGACATCGATACTGAAGAGAACCAGGCTGTACTTAAGATCCTTGCACCATCAGAGAGAGATGAAGGGTCTTACTACTGTGCCAGTGACATCCACCCTGCTGCAGCTCTACTTCTGAGCAGCTCAAAAACCATTGCTGGCCGGGCGCGGTGGCTCATGCCTTTAATCCCAGCACTTTGGGAAGCTGAGGCAGGAGAATCATGAGGTCAGGAGATCGAGACCATCCTGGCTAACATGGTGAAACCCTGTCTCTACTAAAAATACAAAAAAAAAAAAAAAAAAAATTAGCCAGGTGTGGTGGCGGATGCCTGTAGTCCCAGCTACTCAGGAGGTTGAGGCAAGAGAATGGCGTGAACCTGGGAGGCGGAGCTTGCAGTGAGCCGAGATCAAGCCACTGCACTCCAGCCTGGACAGAAAAAAAAAAAAAAAAAAAAAAAAAAAAAAAAGACATTGCCATCCATGTAGAGCAGCAGTTCCAACAAGATCATGATTTTCTCTTGAATAAATAATTTAGGAAATGGGGACCGGAGAAAGCTAGTGTTCCTACCTTTCTTTCAGGTTCAGCCACTCAGCTTGCACATGCCCTCCCATGGTGCTCAGAAAGGCAGCCCCCAGTGCGACAGAAGAGAGGGGAGATGGAGCCAAAGGAATGAATTGTAGCATCTACTGTGAGAGTTTTCTTGGGGGCTCATAAAAGGTTTGACCACAGAGCCACAGTGCCTAGAGTATAGCATAGATTAAGGAGGCACCTTATCATGTACAACCACGGGTAACATCCAGTTTTTCCCCAGCCACATGCCTCTGAATTTACATGTTCTAGAGAAAAAGGACTGGCAATGTGGGGAGGCTCCTCTCCCTCCTTCAGATCAAATATGTACACTACCTGTCATTTTGCCCAACATGGAAGGAAAGGCTCCATCTGTAGCATGCTCTATTGTTTTGATGATTACTGACTAGATATTTTGTTTTGCTTTGTTTTGTTTTTTTTCGTGAGACAGAGTCTTGCTCTGTCACCCAGGTTAGAGTGCAGTGGCAAGATCATAGTTCACTGCAGCCTCGCACTCCTGGGCCCAAGCTGGATATGGTGTTTTGCTCTCCCTTTCTTCTCTATCTCTTTATTTCCACATGTCTTAGAAACAAAACATTGAAAAATTGCTTCCACTGGCTCTTCCTTATCCTTCTTTGGACAGCTCAATTCAACCTGCACTTTTATCTTGAACAATGTGTTTTTCCAGATTTAGATGATGGACAGGGCTGTCTACTCCAAGGCTGAACCTGCGGCGGAAATCAGCCTTCCTTCTGTCCTCATCTAGAAAATCTACCACCTACCTTATTAAATAGCCTCATAGGAACGTGTGGTGATAGATATGGTCAGTGACTTGATTGCAGTGATGGTTTCACAGATGTACAGGCATAAATTCATCAGATTAGGTACTCTAAATGTGTACAGTTTATTTCACATTAAGTATACCTCAGTATGGTTGTAAAAATATTTGTTTAAACCCAAAATGAATTTTTTAGGCTTCATTGGACCACTTCAGGCAATGTCTACAGAAAATGTTCTTCAACAAACCCCTCTAGTCAAATATCCTGTTTTCCACAGAAGAACAAAGAGGCTGACAGGACTTGCCACACCTTACTCGGTTTTAGTCAGGGCTTTTCACTGTTTCACCAAGGGTCTTCCCAATCCTCTCTCCTCTCCTGATTCCGCCTGACCTTTCATATATATATATGAATACGTATATACATATAAATACATGTTTTATATATATGTTATAATATGTCATTGTTCCATGCATTTTAGTCATGACTGCCCCCATGAGCTCTTATCATTTATTTCCCCAAACAGCTCGAAACCTTCAGAAAATCTCTCTTTTCTACTCTTCATCCCAAACTCACTCTGACCTGATGCCTGATCCTAACATATGCCTGGAACCTGCCTTCTACCTTTCTGTCCCACCCCATTGGGCAGCTTCTTTGGTTGAACAGTCTGCAAGCCCTGGATATTGGCTCTGCCCTTGGACAAAGTCGGGTTCCCAAATCGCCATCCAGATACAGCACTCTGAGCCCCCATGATCTTGGAAGGGGTTTGGACCCAGCCTTCCCCAGATGTATTTACACAGAGGGCCTATCACGATTCGTCAAGCCCACTGCCCGCCACTCAAATCTAATTCTCCTTCTTTGAACGAGTGATAGGCAGGAAGGTGGAGTGCATCTCCAACATGGAGAGGATACAATTCTTCTCCCAGTTTGAAATCATGATTTGGAAAAAGAACGACATCTGGAAAGCTGGTTGTGCAGATGTCAAAGTTGTGGAGCCATGGTTTTCTAACGCCTGCAAGATGGATTCCTAGTAAGACCCCCAGTGACTCCCTGTAACAGAGACAGGGAAGAACGTCTCTAAGGAGAAGGAGGGGAAAAAATATCTGGACAAATCCATAGAGCTATATGTCTTCTATATTAATAACTAATATCTGTTGAGTGCTTACTATGTGCCAGGCAGCATTCTAAGCACTTAACGTGTGTTATATGATTAATCTTCACAGCAACCCTAGTATTCATTTTCCATTCTTGTCCTTATTTTACAAATGAGTACCCTAAGGCACAGAAAACCTAAAATACTTGCCCAAAGTAGCTTAGCTAGTAAGGGAGGGTGACAGATTTCAGACTCTTGATGCTGCACCAGAGGACACAGCATGTAATTTAGGGAGACGGGGGACCCATAGAGAAGGCCACCTCCAGGATGCGTCAGAACCAAGGGACAACAGGGATGTGCCCTCACCACCAAACCTGTTCAAACTGATACTCCGTGACCATCTGTCAAAAAACTGGGACAACAGAGCAATGGTCCCAAATGACTTCTCAAGTGTTTTCTAACTCTGAGATGTTGTGATCCTGACATAAGCTTCACACTGTCTTCTAAAATCATCTGCATCTCTTCATCTATGAAATGGGGATAATAAGAGTTCTACCTTCCCTGTGTTATAAAACATATAATTATAGAAAGTAAACAAATTGCATTGCATATAGTAGCTATTTAATACATGTTACTTATTATAAGAAAAAGCAAACTGCAAGGGAGAATAATTGAGAAGAAAGTGAACTAAATTACTGAGCACCAACAAAATGCAGCCACTTTACAGGTATGGACTCACTTATCCTATGACAACTCAGTGAGGTCTTTATCATCCTTTCTGTTTTGGAGGCGAGGATACTGTACCTCAGAGAGGCTGGACAGCTTGCTTACAGAAGCAGAGCCAGGATCTGGATCTGACTTGAAGCCTGATTGTCCTGGCTAGGGTACTGGGCTGGGAGCTGTGGGATGTACTAAAGAAATACCTTACCTATAGCAACATCTCAAGTAAAGGATGGCTGGGAACAGGTAAGTGAAGTCTGGTCATCTTTGCTCATGCAAAGATTGCTCTTGACTCCTTGGCCAGTTTCCAGAAGAAGGGATAGGATGTGAGGTCTTCAACTCCTTCCCCCTGCCTCCTCTCCCCTTCTTTAAAACACCAATTGCAATTTCGGCTTCCAGGCTCTTCTCCTGAGATGGCTCCCTCCCCTGACTGAAGGAAGACAGCTACTCCTCAGCCCATTGCCAATCACACTCCTGAGCACCACCCCTAGGTCGGCAGCTTTTCTCCCAGGGTACACCATGAGAAACTGAGAAACTGGCCCACATATTCCCTCCTTCTGATGCTTGTCAAAGATAGTCTCTTGTTGGACTCCCTTAGGGTCTCTAAGGGTGCTCATGGATTCACTGCCTTTTCCTCTCCTTCTCAGGGGCTTGCCTGGAGTGGAAACTATAGGGGTCCAGGGCCGGCATAATGAGAGCTAGAAAAATTCCCTGGGTTTCTGTCAGGTCCATAGAGTTGGTGACTTTACCACCCACATATATCTTTGCTGTCAGGCAAAGTGTGCAAGTTTGTCTCTTCCATTGTCACTGACTTACCACTTATACAGAGGCAGCAATGGGGCTTGAGATCTGACAGCCACAATTCTCTGCATTCAAAAGTGAGCAAATGGGCACCAGAAAACACTGCAGTGGATTAAGATGCAGGAGCCACTGTGTAAAGAATAGAAATTAATTTCTAACTAAATGTCTCTGCTTTAGTTAGGGTCTTAGTCCACCGCAGTATCTTAAACAATACGTACTCAATGATAAATTTTCCATGACAAGGTGAACAAACTCAGAATCAAGGCTCCTTTCCTACTCTTCAATTCAGCACATTACCCTAAAATATTCATTGAAATGATAGGATTATACAGCTTTATTTTTTTGTTACAGCTCTTTATTCATTCTTTCAGTAAACACCATCTCTCATATCTGCTTAATTTTTCTCCATAGCATTTATCACTGTTTGACGTGCTACATATTTTACTTGTTTATATTTTGTTGTCTGGCTCTCCACTGGAATACAAGGTCCTTGATGGCAGGGATGAGTTTTTGTCTGTTTTGTTCATTGCTTTAACTCCAGCCCTTAGAATAACTTTGGCCCATAACAGACACTCAATAAATGTATGAAATGAATGAGTGAATAAAATACATATGAGTGAGTGCCATGTACCCTGCACTGAGCTGGATGCCAGGGACATAGTGGTACACAAGGCTGGTGCGGACTCTGCTCTCATCTACCCACTAAAAAAATGCTATTGACCGTAACAAGATTTTCTGAAGAGTTGATTATAGAGTACTCTGGAACACAAAATAACTTACTCTTGGAGAGCAGACATCGAGGCTCCTAAGTACATTGGATGTTAGCAGGGGCAAAATGAAGAAAACAGTGGGCTTTCTCTTTTCTCCACCTTTTCTCTCTTTTGAGTCCCAAGGGCCCCATCCCTGAGTCCGAGGCTGTCAAAGAAAAAGCCAAACACTTCTGTTTTATTTCACAAAGGAATTTTGCGAACCTTCTCTCCAAACAGACTTGCTGGGGCATGCTATTTCACAATGAAAAGCCACAATAACACAGCTTCCTAAACAAAAGAGTGATTCCTAACTCCCTCTCACTTTATCACCACCACCACCAAATGATTTCGGTATTCTTCAAGAATACAGAATCCACTGGGTCTTTTTGGGCTTTTTAGCAATTTACACATGCACAAACGCATATGTTTATGAGTGGTAACAGCGTACGTTCGAGTACGTGAAACACTGCAGGGACTCTCCGAAGGCGTGCCCTGGATGCCCCAAGGCTCTGAGGCAGCAGTCAGCCAGTGGAACAGCGTGCCACCCAGCATGCTCAACTTGATAGAAAAAAGACCCAGTGACAGGGCACAGGAAGTCAAGCCAACATGCAATTGCTTGTATTAATTTAAATAAAGCCAGGTTCTCAAACTCCATGTTTAAATAAGAAATCTAACAGTCATAAGTTTTCTTTTTACCTGCATGCCTATGGGAGAATAGGGAAAGTTTAAATTATCCTTCTGGCTTAAGGACAAAATTGCATGAGTATTTATAACTTTCAGAAAAAGAAATGTCAGTCTAAATATATTACTAGGGCAACAAAATATTAAGAAAAAAAAACCCAAAGTACAAACTTTTGGAAATTAAAGTTGCTTTCATAGAATATAGCAGCATTCACTCAGTAACAATTCATTAAGTACCTTGTATGTGCCAGACGCTTTTCTAGACACAATGGAAGTACAGCTCTCAGAATCTCAGGAGCTTATATTTCAGTGGAAATAAACACAAAATAAAATAAGTAAAATATATGTCAGATGGAGATAGTTGCCAAGGAGAGGAGTGAAACAGGCGGGGAGGGAGAGGGTTGTCAGCAGGCTTGGAGAAATTACAATTTTAAATCAGGTTGTCAAGAAGGGATACAATGAGAAGGTGACATTTCAGCAAAGGCCTGCGTGTAGGCAGGGAGCCCAATATTTGGCGTGTGGATGTTTGCTGGACTCCCTCTGTTAGAAATAACATTTTCATGCACATTCTTAAGCCGCATAATCGTACCAGCTTTTCTGTAGGTTCATTTTTTCTTTCTTATCTTGCTAAGAGCTCTTTCACAAGTAGTTCACACTTTCATTTTTCAAAACCAAGCGATGAAATGCCATTAATTAGCACAAAGTGTGTTGGGGAGTGGACACGAGGGTTTGGCAAGGAAGCAGTCCTGAAAAGATCAAAACTTGCAATATGAACAGGAAGATGACAGCGCCGATTATGACAAACGGAAAACGGGGCATGGCATTTTGAGCCCTTTGCCTTGAGTCTCTCCCTAGTCATGTGACCACATTCTGTGAACTGAAGAGTGTTTCTTCCCCAACCACAGAGGTAACAAATCAAAGTAGGTGATGCGTTTCTCTCACTGGTCCCCAAATGACTCCACTCCAGCAGCCCCAGAAAAGAATCTGCAGCTTCATCTATACCTGCAGGTTGATGTGCTCCCAAAAACTGTCTCACTCAATTGTGAAGCTGAAATCAATCCTGTGTCCACCTCAGTGGGGTTCTTGGTTTTTCTCCTCTGGCTTCTCCAAAAAGTCAATCATAGAGAAACCTGAGGGCTGTGGAGCCACTACGGAGAAGGCTGGAGTGCCTTTACCATCCCTAGCTGAGCTTTAGGGATTCACCCTCCAGGGCCTCTGGGTGTGCTGGGATCACACGGCCTAAGGTAGGCCCGAGAGTCAGTTTCCATCTTTACCTGCCACCTGACAGGAGTGAGAATTTTTACTTAGAGGCAGTGAAAAGGAAAGTCAGCAGCCCCAGGGACAGTACCAAGAAGACACCACCTGAGTGTGTGTTGTCATAGGGCTCTGACACAGCCAAGGCCTCCTCGGGCATAAAGACCTCACTGTGTTTGCATAACACCTGTGTTATAATCGTGAGTGATCAATAAAGGATTAACTGCCTCAGTCTTCTAAAGAAATGAAGAAGCGTTTTATGCACCAAGTTCTAAATAAGCACACAAAAAAACAGAAAGGCCTGTGTAGCTGCCTCTGTACTTTGAAATTAGAGAACTGGTACAAGAACAATAACCCATCTCTGTAGTAAGAATCAATGTAAAATCTTTGAGTTCATAGCTAGTCCATTTCTCAGCATCAAAACCGTCATCATGCCTTCTGTATGGAGGATATCCACCCCCACATATGCACACTCAGAGTGTCAGAGCAATGAGAAACCAATTATCATCAGGCTCCACCTCTTCGGTTGAAGACGTAGAAACCGATGAATGAAGAAATTAAGTGACTTTTCCACATCACACAATATAGTGCAGACAGGTAAAGTGATATACTATATTTCTATCCCTTTCCTCCAATGTCCTAGAAGTCAAACGCTAAGAAAAGACAGAAAGGGTAAACCACGTGATCATGCCAAAGTGAAAGAAAAATGGCAGTGGCGTGTTCTCCACTTTCCAGACAACTACCTCCTGTCATCTTCCCCACACTTACGATCCATGAAAACTTTCTCATTGTTTTAACAAAAGGTCTCATGGCACAATTTAAACAGGCGTTTTTCCTCTCTTAAATAGGTGGCAATGCAGTCCAGGGAGGCAAAGTGATATACAAAAATAAATAGCCTTAATCATTCACAAAAATATTAATGTGTGTCAAATTTAAAAACAATAAACTGCAAATTGCCCCTAACTTTGGCAAAGTCCTTTCACCTGTCTTAAAATGAACAAGTTTACAAATTTGGGCTATTAAGTTTTTGTTATTTTTTTTTCTCCTTGAGACAGAATATCGCTCTTGTTGCCCAGGCTGGAGTGCAATGGCACAATCTCAGCTCACTGCAACCTCCGCCTCCCGGGTTCAAGTGATTCTCCTGCCACAGCCTCCCGAGTAGCTGGGATTACAGGCGTGCACCACCATGCCCAGCTATTTTTTTGCATTTTTAGTAGAGATGAGGTTTCACCATGTTGGCCAGGCTCGTCTCAAACTCCTGACTTCAGGTGATTTACCCACCTTGGCTTTCCAAAGTGCTACGATTACAGGTGTGAGCCACTGTGCCCGGCCACATGTGAGTTTTTATAAGTAAGTTCTTTTAGTATTGAAAAAAGCATAGCCTCTGGAATCAGAAAAGAATTAGAATCACAACCCCTCACTTACTAGTTCTGTGACCTTGAAAAATGTTTCTTTAACTTTTCTAAACCTCTATTCCCTCATCCATAAAATAAGGGTAATAATTTCATAGAGTTATTATAAGGATCAAATTAAATAATTGCTAGTAAGTATCTGAGTGACTACAAAGTGGAGGTGCTCAATAATGCTAACTCCATTCCTTTCAGCACCCGATGGTCTGTAGTAGAGTGGTTTCACCCTCTACTCCAGACAGAAGGAGACAGAAAAGCCAGAATGGGAGAGAACATGGCCAATGACCACTAGTGTTTTTCCAAACCAAGAAATCTAAAGTGCCTATCAGCACATTTTTCATAAAAATACCTCATCAGGAATGTTCTTCCCACACGACCTCTCTAAATCCTTTCCCTGCACTAATGATAGTGAAGGTCCCAATGGCAAGATCATCACTGGGACGGTCTAGCTCCCCAACAAGAGACGGTGTCCTCATTGCCCTTCATTTGCAGAGATCAAAGTGACGCATGTCAGTGTCAGCTTCACCAATAGTAACAGGGAGAGTATTTTTTTTTTTTTTTTTTGAGACAGGGTCTCACTCTGTTGCCCAGGTCGGAGTACAGAGGCATGACCACGGCTCATTGCAGCCTCAACCTCCCGGGCTGAACTGATCCTCTCCCCTCAGCCTCCTGAGTAGCTGGAACTACAGGTGTGCAGCACCGTTCCTGGCTCATTTTTTAATTTTTTGTAGAGACGAGATCTTCCTATATTACTCAGGCTGGTCTTAAATTCTTGAGCTCAAGAGATCCTCCTGCCTCAGCCTCCTGAAGTGCTAGGATTATAGGCGTGAGCCTTCACGCCCTGCATGAATGAATTTTTTACATCAAACCTTCTCCAACACACTTAGTCCAGATGTCTGAGACAAGAGCTGCACAAAGGAGTCTCAATCTTCAGAAAGTGCAGCCTTACCAAGCTTTATGGATACTCTCCCACAGGGCCTCCCTGGTCTTTAGGACACGTTTCATTCATGCATCCGTTTAGGAATAGAGATCTTATACCATCCTTACAAAGGAACCTATAATATTAATTACTGACCTGTGATGAGTCAGCTGTCCATCCTTATTCTGCCCACGCTGTCTACATGGAGTTAGTTTGCACTGTAGTACTTTGCCAAGAAAAACCAAGTTTTTCTAAATGAATTCCAGGGATAAATAGTCTCATTCCAGTTCTTTGGCTTCTTCCACTAAAGAATTATAGGGACCTGCTCTAGGGAAACTGGGAGGAAAAGTCAGGGAATGAGAGCCACTGTTTGCCAGAAATGCATGTTCTGATGGGGAAAGATAGTTCAAGATATCTGCACCAAATCACACACTGGGAAGAAGCTGTCTGAGATCTGAGGAAATTTCCACCTGCTAAAAAGAGCTAGCAGTCTGCT